AGAGANAGAGAGAGAGAGAGAGAGAGAAAGTTGGATAAAAAAAAAAAAAACAATGTTAATAATGAGATATTGCATTGTAAATTTCCATAATTTTGGATTAAAATTGTTTTTCTTTTGTTTCGTCTGAAAAGTCTCTCACTAACAATACCCTTAAGATTAACTGATATTGTCTTTGTCACAAATACTATCTTCCATTTTGTCACCTTTCTTCCTATATCATTCCTCACGTCATTTCCTTCCTTTCCTCGTCTTCTTCTAGACATTTAAAATTTAAATATTCATTTGCATTGACAAATTTAAAATGACACTGCTATAGATAAAATTGAAATAAAATATGTCTCAATGAACAGATCATAATCGATTAACATTTACTCTTATCTTTCTTCTTTCCCTCTCTTTAATCAAATTTGAATATTATCATTCCTCATATCAGTATTAGAAATGACAATGATAAGAATTTTGCACAACTTGGTCACTGATCAATTTCGAATGTTACCATTCCTCATATCAATAGAAATGCTAATGATCAAAGGTTACACAATTTAATTTGTTTGCATTCAGTAGTACCATTCAGAAGAATTTAGCTTATTAATCGATTGTTATCAAGAGATAGCAAGTCTTCTGATAATTTTTTTTAGTGATAAGCTGATAACCAACTTTTATATCAGTTATATCGACGAGACCTTATTAATTTTTAGCTACACTTAATCTGCAAATAATTTTTTCATTTTTATTGCTAAATTTATTTGTCAAATTATCAAATAATTACCGCTTTTTATCACTATCAAAGTTGTCTTATTACTCACCGTAGCCAAAGTAAAAAATGCCTATCTACTGTATAATTACGGCATATATTACTGTATAATTACGGTACGGACAAGTAAAATCAGTGCATTTGTTCATTTATCTTTTAAAAAGTCTTATATTGTCTTTTGATAATTGAATATCATCTAGTCCTTGGCGCAAAAGTGGCTTCACAAATGATTACCATCTATTTCTGACGCAAACGTCTCTTTTTAAGTGAATACCATTAGTCTGGCGCAAACGTCTCTTCATGAGTGAATATGATCTCATTTCAATGCCAATGTTATTTAATAATTCAGTACTAAGGAATGGTAATAATGTTTGCGCTATTGTCGCATATATTAATTCTTATAGAAATATTTAATGTATTTATTGTCAAAATCAAAATTTGCTTATTCATGCTTTTTATTTTAATAATATCTTAAATCTTTTCCCGCCTTTCTCCTCCTTCCTAAACTTCTTATCATTTTTCAATAATCATTAGCTTAATCAAATGATGCATTAATTGTGCCAATAAATCAGTAAATCTAAACTTCCATTATTTTCTTTTATTTTAATGATTTTAGCAAATTTACACAAATAATTCAATCAATCATTCCTTATCATCCATTTCTACCTGTAATGTCCACATCGGAACTGACCATTACGGGAAATAATTATAGCATGAAATAATGACCCTTTGGCGCAATAATGCGTTGAATGTAAACATCATTCATTTCTATAATTCTTATAAAGATGAACGAGCAAAAAGAGAAATTTCTTAATGCAATAAGATTTGAAATTATGAATTACAATAATAGCACGTGAAATACGGAATGAATTACGGTAGAATACGATAGGATGTGGTAGAACAACTTGTTGAGTTTTAATAAAATTGAATTTTTGTGAAGCCATTGAAGTATTATTACTTGTAAAATTGCTACAATTTGACTGATGATAAATTTCATCAAATGATTTTCAAATTTATATTTTAAATAGTGTAAATTTTAGTTCCATCCACTTCCAAATTTATCAATTTGATTAAAATTTCACAATTTTATCAGAATTTCAGTGTAGTTTCGAAATAATTCTTCTAATTAACAAAGCAAACGCGTGGAAAATTAATTTATATTAAACATTTCAATGATTAATACAAGTTATACTCGCTTTTTTAACAAACTTAAATTTGGTTGTTGTAATTAATTTATTCATTCATGCAAGAATTCAATTATTTTCACTTCAATTTTTAGTATTACACTTTGTAAAATTTAAAAAATTTCTTCAACACACCCAAATTTGAAAAATTTGAAAAAATTTGAAAATTTCAATTTTTATCACATTTCCATGAATTTTTCTTATCAAAATAAAAAATGAAAAAATGAAATTTGTCATCAAATTTATCAAAATAGCAATCATTTCTTTTCCCCTTTTTTCTTTAAAAAATTTTTCCATTTTTTTTGGAAAAATTCAAATTTTAATTTATAAAATAGTAATGACATAGTTTTTGCAATTAGTATAATGCAGCTATATGATGGGCTAATTCTTAACATATCATTTATCTATTATCAATTAAAGTTTAAAAAGATAAGAGATGTGAAGAGTGGGAAGGAGAAGGAAAGATGAAAAAAAAAAGTGAAATGAAATGAAACGAATGTAAATAAAATAAAATACGAAATAAAAAATGGAGAATTTTGTAGGAGAAGATAAAAAAATGATATAATAAATTTTTTTTTTTGCGTTGGCGGTATAATCTTTGAAGTTAAGGAGAATGAAAAAAGTTTACTGATAAGCATGCATTAATGATATCACAATTTCACTACACTATCCAATCATTTGTTTTAAAGATTGACTTTTACTTTTCTATTCAGCACAATTTCAAACCTTACATGATAATTATTTAAGACTGCTAATTTTTCCACTATCTATTTTCCGTAACTTCAAAACTTTAATTGATAAAACAAGTCTTAAGCTATGCATTGATTATTATCAGTATCATTCCGCAACTTTCCGTCAGCTATCTTCCGCAACAATTAGAAGTTTCATTTGATCAAATTGATTGACATTAGAACTGATTGAACCCATTAAAATTCTAATCTAATTACCATTAACCATAATAGTTTAAAAATTTCGACTACCTTTTTCCCATTAACGATTGATAAAGCAAATTCCAATCTAATTGCTATTAACAATGTTATTTCAAAAATTTACCACTACCTATTTAAAAAAATTTCATTCGAATAAATCCCAATCTTTTTTTTTCTTCATCGCGAAAATCTTCCAATATTTGTAATTTTTCTTGAAAGAGAAAAATTTGCGAAATTCTAACAAATTTTATAATTATGAATTAAAAATGAATCAAGAAATAAATATTTAAGAATTGAACATTTCATATTTTTCATAGAAAAGCTGATAGATTCAATATTTAAATTGTGTAATATGCAAATTAAATTACATTAAGTCATCCGAATTATTTGCATAAACAAAATTAGCATAAATTGTTGTCTTAAATCTTTCAACATCTATTTTAAATGTGAAAATAAAATAAATTATTGTAATTGAAATAGAAAATGTGTTTTTTTTAAAAAAAAGTGAGAATAAAAATAAACAAGCATTTGTATGCCACTAATATTTTCATTTGCTTGCAATGCAAATTTAGTTGACAAACTTATTACAGTATCTATTGCAATAAGCTTTAATGAACAAAATTAAAATAAAATTTTGGATTGATGGAATTTCATGAATTTGCTATTCAACAATGCTAACTTACAATAAGCCGATTACTGATTACATCAATCTTTCAATATTTTTCATTGAATTTTAATGATAATTTTCAGATTTACTTTAATCATTCATTACAGTATTTGCATATTATACATTTGACCATTACACTGTTGTTATTGCAATACCTGAAATTATATCAAAAGCAAATTTTAGCAATTACTCGGCAATATTAATTGCATTCAACCGTGAAATTCATCATGAAATTTCCGTTACTAATGGTAAAAGCTATAAAAATTTTACGATAATTTTAATATTTCAATGAAAATGGAAAATTTTTTGCATATTTTAACCGTTGACCAATGACCAATGACCAATGGTAATGAGGGAAAAAAACGGAGCAAGAATTAAGTGTAAATATTTATTTATTTATTCACTAATTTATTTGGTATTTTAGGCAATTGAATTCTTGTCATTTTAAATGAATTATTTTTGCATCACATTTAGTTATTGAACTGGAAAGTTGTAAATAACAATGCAAATTGCACTTTTGAAATTTCTGCTTTTCTTATTTTTATTTTTCTTTTTTTTTGAGAAATCAATGCGGTTAAGTCTTATGCTTTTAAATTTAATTTAAAATTGAAAGTGTAAAATTTAAAAAAATTTAAATTCAATTTTCATTTTTAATTTTCTTTTTTTTCTCCAATAAAACTGTTTAATACATTGCATAATATTAATAAATTGGTACGATTTATCTATTCTTTTTAAATTACTTTTTCCAATCTTTTTCAATCATTCATTTTTATTTTATTCTATTAAAACTATTAAACTTGTCGTTTCCAATACGATTAATTTTATAACTTCGCAATTTCTGTATAATAAAATGTAGAAATGGTAGGTTATTTTTCATTTGTAACGCATACAGATTGCATTCAGAATCATCAAACTTCAGAATTTCATTGCATTCAGAATCATCAGGCAATGTAGCTTCATTGCATTCAGAATCATCAGGCAATGTAGCTTCATTGCATTCAGAATCATCAGACAATGTAGCTTCATTGCATTCAGAATTATCAGACAATGCAACTTCATTGCATTCAGAATCATCAAACTTCAGAGTTTCATTGCATTCAGAATCGTCAGACAATATAACTTCATTGCACTTGGAATCATCAAACAATATAACTTCATTCCCTTCAGAATTACCAAACTTTGAAAGTTTGTGGGGAATCAGATAGAATAGATTACTTTAGTATATATATCCCTCTTATATGGCAATAAAACGATATAATTCTGTATTATTTAAAATAAAAAATATTTGAATAATTATGGAATTTTTTTTGATAATTCAATTTTATTCGTTCCATGAAATGCTTTTTGAAGAAAAAAAAGTAAAACAATAACTTTGAAATGTTATTGTAGAATTCTGCTCAACAACAAAAAAAAAAAGGAACTTTTGATATTAACACTATTGCAGTAATACTTATCACTTCATTCAGTCATTTCAAATTGATAAATCAATTCAAAATCTAAGTTATCAGATAATTTCGAAATTTGAAATAATCGTATAGCAAATTAAGATTAAATAAAGTTTTGAACATTTCATTATAAGGTTAAATTTATTTTCGCATAACAAACAAATTAATATATGTAGTATAGGTTGTTATTTGTCATTTGATGACCAATGAATGATGACCATTGGCCACATTTCACTAATGAGATCAATTTTTATTGTATCATTGAATGGCTGTGTGTGTATGTATGTATGTGTATGTGTATGTGTGTGTGTGCGTGTATGTGTATGTGTAAATATATATCTGTTATGTTTGAATTATTCCGACTGGTACCGCAAGCGGAAAAGCTTATTCTTGGAATAATCATATTTTTAATTCGTTCAGCAATAAATGCATTGGTAATAATAACAGAATTGTTGATGATTCCAATAAATCTTATTTACTTACATTTTCTTTATATATATTCAATTGTTAGCTAATTTTTTCTTCCTTTTTATTAAGTAATTTATTATTTTACTTATATTAATTAACTGATAATTTTATTATATCATTGATTACTTTTTTATAATTTAATCACAATGTATTAATGCTTACTTTTGTGGGATTTATTTTCTTTCTAATTATAATTACGAATTTCTTTATTCAACCAATATTTAATATCAAGCAAAATTGAAATGAATTATATTTCGAAGGATTAATTACCATGAAATTAAAATATTGTATCCATAAATTAAATGATAGCAACATTTAGCAAAAAAAAAAAAAAAGTAATCAATTATCATAGGAATGATAAGATAGTTGTCATTTCAGGTCTTTAATTGTTGCAACGTAGTACAGATTAAGATAATATTTAACAATGGAATCATATAAGAATCTGATGCAATGCTTAATTAATATAAAAAGAGATTTCTTAACCATTTTTATAGATATATAATTCGATATTTAAAAATTCATATTTAATAACTCAATATTGTTTTCATGAAGTTTTTGAAGTACCTATTAAAATTTTAAAAATTTTTAAAAATTTAAATTTAGTTTTGCAAGAAAAAAAAGCTTTGTAATATTTATGCTGCAATATCATGATAGACACGATGCTCTATTGCTGCTAAGGGAATTATTTTAAAATTTTCCTTTTTTTATTTTCCTATCCGATATTTTAAGCCATGCAAATTTTCCATCATAAATTTTACTTCATTTAAAAAATCGTCAACAGTAGTATCTATTTATCCATCCATCCATCTATCTATCCATTCATCCATCCATCCATCCATCCATCCATCTATCCATCTATTCATCCATTCATCTATCCTGTATCACATCCAAACATTTATAACTTCATTGTTTGGTAGGATTAAATCTAACACTTAGCTTTAAACTTGAGCCAATTCATCCATTCTCTTTTCGCAATTCTCGATGGAATCCCGCTTTATATAGCTACCAAACATATCTTTGTTTGCTAATTTATTCCCGAGAGATTGAAAATAAATACGAATTTCTCTTTTGGATTTGGTATTTGTTATTACAATGAATCCGTTCTTTCTTTCTTTTGGATTATATCAAACTAACAAAAACTTCGTTTGCTTCTTTTTTTTCTTTCGAAAAAAAAATAAAAATAAAAAAAGAGAGAATATTTCTTGAAATGTATTGATAATGTTGGTATATTGCAGTTGGAAAAAAATAAAAAAAAAAACATTTTCAAATTTAGTAGCTTAAAAAAAAACAAAACGAATACCAAATTTGTTTTAATGCTTATTCATTTTTTTTAAAATGTTCATTCTATTTTAATAACAACGATAATAATAATAATAATAATTAATGATAATAATAATAATAATAATAATAATAATAATAATAATAATAATAATAA